GTTTTCGTACCGTGTGCCTATGCATTTGATTTTGTTAAAATTCTATGTATAGCACTTTGCCTTTATTCTTCTGAAATTTCATTATTATTTTAGTCAATGAAGACATTTTAAGATCCTGATTCTGTCATTCAGTTCATTGGCTGTCTCTCCAATTACATCTTTAAAGATGTCCTCTAGCGTGCCCGTAGAGGCTCCCCTCTGAATGGACACTACAACACAAATCAGTGTCCTTTAGGTAGGACTGTTAGCTGCGTTACCAGAGAACTATGTGTTTATCACTCCTAAAATTTTGTGTCTTACCCGTAAGGATGTGAGAAATTTGGCCATTAAAATCTTGTTAAAGTCAAGATATACTTTATCTACGGCTTTCTCTTGACTTAAAAATTCAGTAACTTCAAAAAAGGAAAGAACTGGAGCGCCTGGGTGGCGCAGTCGGTTAAGCGTCCGACTTCAGCCAGGTCACGATCTCGCGGTCCTTGGGTTCGAGCCCCGCATCGGGCTCTGGGCTGATGGCTCAGAGCCTGGAGCCTGTTTCCGATTCTGTGTCTCCCTCTCTCTCTGCCCCTCCCCCGTTCATGCTCTGTCTCTCTCTGTCCCAAAACGTTGAAAAAAAAAATTAAAAAAAAAAAAAAAAAAAAAAAAAGGAAAGAACTCTGCTCTTGGCTCTGAATCCATTTTGACTCCTTTTAAATCCCTCTTGCTTATCTACGTGCTCACGTATTAACAAATATTTGGATTATCACAAATATGCCAGCTCTCTCACACACGGTAGAATTGCACTTCACTTATTTGAAATCGTGTTCTCATAATTTTCTTTGGCCAAGGTCATGTGAGTGGAAGGAGAAATATATTACTTCTGGGAGGACACTTTAAGAATGAATCTGTCCCTTTAATCCTTTCTTCCCACTGTGTTGGCATCCAGAATGTCCCAGCCCGGATCCCATAGCGAAGGCATCACTAGAGGAAAGCCTCAGATGACCTACAAAAGATACGTAGCACAAGCAAGAAATGAGCAGGAAATAGCCCTTCTTTATTTGCGATTTTGGAGTGTTTGTTAACGAAGCATGACCTAGCTTATACTGACTGATACATTATATTTACCAGTCTATGTTTTCTGTAGCCTCATCTTTTTTTTTAATTTTTTTAATGTTTATTTATTTTTGAGAGAGAGAGCACAAGCAGAGAGGGGCAGAGAGAGAGAGAGAGAGAGAGAGAGAGAGGGAGCACAGCATCTGAAGCAGATTCCAGACTGCAAGCTGTCAGCGCAGAGCCCGACATGGGGCTCAAACCCACAAACTGTGAGATCGTGACCTGAGCCGAAGTCAGATGTTCAATCGGCTGAGCTACCCAGGGGCCCCTGTAGCCTCATCTTTTGAAATTCAGAAGAGAATGTGCCCACCTCCAGTTTTCCAGCTCCTCTCTTCTTGAGATTACATCTGTCCAGTATTTCAGTATTTGTGTTTATAGGTTATCTGGGGCTGGCTCCTTGAATTTATTTAAAATGACTAGGTGCTTGGGGTGCCTGGGTGGCTCAGTTGGTTGGTCGTCCAAGTTCAGCTAGAGTCATGATCTCACAGTTCGTGGGTTTGAGTTCCACATGGGGCTCTGAGCTGACCACTCAGAGCCTGGAGCCTACTTTGGATTCTGTGTCTGTCTGTCTCTCTCTCTCTACCCTTCCCCTGCTCATATTCTGTCTCTGTCTCTCAAAAATAAATAAACATTAAAAAAAAATTTTTAATGCCTGGGTGCTTTATCACTACCTTCTTAGCTTGGAGTTCAATTCTTTCTTAGCAATATTTGTTACACTTTTCAATTCTCTGTAGTGAAGAAGGCAGAAGCTTTGCCCTTCTTCCTCTTTTAAAGATTTCTTTGCTTTTAATAAAGCTTAAAACTCCCTCTAAGTTTTCTTAAGCATTTTTCCTAAGTCTCAGTTTATTCTGGGAATTCAGTCTTCTCCCACCCTCTTGTAAGTTCATATAACACTTATCAAATTCACTATCTGAAATTATTTGACTTAATGTGATCTACTAATTGTTCCTGGTACATGCTGTGGTTTTTATTGAATGTTTTAATTTTTTAACCTTACTTACACATTTCTGTATCTCTCTTCACTTCTTAACAATTGAGTTTGACTTTTCCTTTTAAAGGTCATTCAATACCTAATATTTAGTGCTCAGTTTGAGAGGTTTTCCAGACACTTTAAAGTTTGCTAAAAATACTAATATTAACTGTCTTGGGGCACCTGGGCGGCTCGGTCAGTTAAACATCCAGCTTCGGCTCAGGTCATGATCTCATGGTTTATGAGTTGGAGCCACATTGGGCTCTCTGCTGTCAGTGCAGAGCCTGCTTCGGATCCTCTGTCCCCCTCTCCTTCTTCTCCTCCCCCCGCTCACTCATGTGCAAACGTGCACATTCTCTCACACACTCTCTCTCTCAAAAAAATAAACTTAAAAAAAAAAACTGTCTCACTTTTCCTTCTAATCCTCTCACAGACCCCAATATGACCTATGTATGTCTGGTCGAAATTACTAATCAGTTCCTCCCTGATGGTCAGTAACAGTTCCTTTTTTTTCCCCCTGTCTTTTTTTTTTTTTTTTTTTTTTTTTTTTTTTTTTTAAGCTCTTTTATTTTCCTGTATCACTTATTCCAGGAACTTGGATTGCTCTGAAAAAAGGTTGGGTATGCTATTTCTCGTCAGCGTGGTAGAGCATGATTTTTACAACATCCAGGCATGAACATTTCATTGGCCCCAACAGCAAAAGGAAGGCCTTGGGAAATTCTAGTTTTCTTAGAACTAACCGGGCAATGGATTGAAATTTCAACATTTCCTTTTACTTACAGTTTAAAACCTTGTGCGTGTGTGCACGCGCGCGTGCACGCACACACACACACACACACAGCCTTGAATTCCTTTCCTCTGTTTATTTAAGACTGTGCCTTAAATACACTTGACCTCTTGCTTGTATGTAATACTTTGCCGCTCACCTTTGTATAAATATCCACCCACAAAACCCACGTCTACGCTTTTTAATTCTCAAAAAGGAGAGAGAAAAGATGAGAGAACGAAAGGGAGGGAGAGAGCAGGATGACCCATGGGGACAGAAGGACAAGGGGTGTAGACTGAGTGAAAAGTGCCACTGACCCCTCTGCAACACGACTCGCGCACTGAACAGCTCATCCCTTCATGAAAACGGATGGACTCAATCGGCTGCCCTCTTTCACCCCATCCTGTTTGCAATGGTGCTCATTCATGTAACAGCTGCTCAGGGTTGGCGGCCCAGTGTGTGAGGGGTACTCAGAATAGAAAAGTGGCCCTTTTCAAGGATGACTGCACACATCAGGCATTATCACTACTCAGTCCCTTAAATAAGTGTCGTTCACAGTTTAGTACAACGCAGGTGGAGGAAAAGGAATAGGAAAATGAGTAAATGAATATGTCAGATGTCCTCCATTCTCAGCTTTTCTTTCCAGAAGGTCTGTCTGGGGACTGTTTGCTGTGACCATAAACTCCTGAACACTTGCCTTGAACATGAGCACTCGAAGAGAAGAATCCCAGGACCGGGCCATCGTCAGAATAGCCGCGCATTTACCAGACCTCATTGTCTATGGAGACTTCTCTCCAGAGCGACCGTCTGTGGATTATTTTGATGGAGTCCTGATGTTTGTTGATATTTCAGGCAAGCACAAAGGGAATCTTTCATGTGGGTGGACGCACAGCTCGATTGCAGAGTGGGGTGGCCCATTTTGAGCTTTTGCACTATTACGGATATCGCTACGGAGAAAACAGGAGGGAGAGGGACAGCCTGTGTACCTGGCCCTCCTGTCTCCCCTTACCCAACACGTCCAGTCATGGGAAAACCTTTGAGATGCCCCGGTCCCATGCCTGGAACTTTAGACTCCAGTGTCCCGACAGCACTGACTCTAGTCCCCAAGCCCCATACGTATCCCAGGCAAACTTGACCTCAGGAAATGGTCCTCCAGATGTTGTTTACATCTTAACGGTAAACTTGTCACCTCTTCAGAAGTGTTTACATGTTGTATGTTTTCAATACCATGGGATGGAAGTTCTAGACCAGCTAAGGGAATTGCAGCCGTCCCTGTGCAAGGTGAGAAATTTGGAGGCAAGAGGTAGCTGGCATCCTTCCCTGACCCCTAAGATAATAAGCATAGACAAGGGGGGCTGCTGACGATCACTGAGAAGAAACCTTGCCCGTTCTTAAGAGCTGGAGCCCAGTGCTCTCCAATGAGTTCCTCTTGTCTTGCCTCTGGTTCCTCCAGGGAGCCTAGGAAACTAGGTGGACATTTCTTACAGGTTTTACTGCAATGACTGAGAAGTTCAGCACAGCCATGTACATGGACCGAGGGGCTGAGCAGTTGGTGGAAATCCTCAACCACTACATAAGCGCAATAGTCGAGAGTAAGTGTCCCCACGGGTTTCTGACTTACGTATGTTTAATTCATTGTCTCCCGGTGTTTTTTTTTTTTTTGGTGATAGCCTGACAGAACACTTACCTTTATTTTCCTCATGAAATGTGTATGAAACCAGTCTTTTTTTTTTGGAAACTAACATCGTGCAAGTGAAGGAACGTGATCAAACCTCACTAACACAGACTGAGGGACAGAATGTTTTGGACCAGTTAAAACACTGAAATAGAGATTACCTTTAAAGAACTTGAGTTATATTCAATGACTCAAAAAAAGCGAGCATCGACATAAGCCCACCGTAGTCATTAAGAGAATGTTGTGTGAACAGGTGAGTGATTTATAACTCACTTATTAGTGCTTTGTCTTCTAATGATGGAGTCGGAAGCACTTCCAACTGACTTTTCAACCTCTGCCGGCCATCTTGTGTGTATTCTTCATTTGAACTATTCATGAAGCAAAAAGTCTTACTCCATTAAGGTAAACTCAGGGTCTAGTCTTACTGGGCTCTACGTTCTCCAGCATTATCTTAATGGCACCCAACTAGACCAAAGTTCATGTTCCTTAAGAGCAGAAACTGTATCTACTTCCTGTTTGCATCCCACTCAGCACAACGGTGCTCAACAAATTTGTGACACACACACAGAGGAGAAAACAATGCCCACTTCTCTTGTAAAGCCTACATAAACAAAATGCAAGTTGGTAATAACACCCAAGCTGACCGTAGTTGTGCTTTTCCGGTTTCCTGATTCTCACTGCAATGCGGAGTCCTGTCATTCCTCCACTTGCCCATGCCACTCGAGCGTTCCATTGATCAGGAGAAACACTCCATTATCATGGGCATAGCTCACTGTCTTCAGACCTCACCAGAAACCCCACCTGCCTTCCTGTCTCTTCCCATTCACAGAAACAGACCACATACTAGTCTCGTTCCGTGTGCATTCTACAGTTGAGGAAACACCTCAGTGGGTATAAGCAACTTGTTTCAGGCATCTTTAGCATGAATTTATACTCTGAACTAATGTTCTCTTGAGCTAATTTCTATTCCACGGATGAAGAATGAATTCTTACTAGCTTTAAGGAATTGGAGTTTGATTTACCTTGTTTTCTTCTTTTCTCAGAAGTGTTGATTTTTGGAGGAGACATCTTAAAATTTGCAGGTAGGGGGGCTCACGGAGATGGGAGGGGTAAGGAAGGAATGCTGAGGTGCGCCTTGAGGAATGTTTGAAGAGTGTCTACCCAGATTTCAGACACAACAGTCTGAATCCCCAGACACAACTGATCCCCAGGGCAGGGCGGGGCAGGAGCCCTCCGTGTATCTGTCTCTTCAAGGTGATGCACTACTCGCCCTGTGGAAGGTGGAGCGAAGGCAACTGAAAAACATTATCACGGTGGTAATTAAATGTAGCCTGGAGATCCACGGATTGTTCGAGACTCAGGAGTCCGAAGAAGGCCTAGATGTCCGAGTCAAGATAGGTAAGCTTTGAGAAAGGGAGACGCTAAAGCAATCTGGACATGGGTGCTGACCCCTGAGGAAACTCTCTCCCCAAGAGAAGACATAGAATGGGGTGGAACACAGTGGCTCAGCCCGCCTATCATGTCTTGAACTTGGGAATTAAGCTAACCAGAATGAGTTTTGGCTACCTCATTTACCCCTTAGAACTTGGGCTAATCTTAAGATCTACCTCAGAGGCTCTTACGAAAAGTAAATTGAAATAGTTAGTGTAGTACCTGGCACAGCATAACCACTCCATGAAATACTCTTCATTATTACCATTACTGCTATTGTTTTCAGGTCTTACCGCTGTCAGTGATAGTCATTTAAAAGAACTATGTATCACTTATTTTATTTTATTTTTTATTTTCTTAAATTTACATCCAAATTAGTGAACTACGTATCATTTATAGTTGATACGTTCATACGTACATTTTGTGTACCTGTCACATTTTGCAACATTCTGTCTTTTGTTGCTCTGGTACCAAAACCTTTAACTCTCAACTTAAAAACAGAGGGCACATTGTTGGGATGGGACACCTGACTGTCAAAATACCTACTCCTTTTCTCCAACCTTTTCCCCTCTGGCTCTTGCCTGAGATTCAACCTTGAGGGTTTCTTTTTAAAAAAAATATTTGGCGGGGAAGTGGGGTGCCTGGGTGGCTCAGTCGGTTGAGCATCCGGCTTCGGCTCAGGTCACGATCTCACAGTTCGTGGGTTCGAGCCCCGCGTCGGGCTCCGTGCTGACAGCCCAGAACCTGGAACCTGCTTCAGATTCTGTGTTCCCTCTCTCTCTCTCTGCCCCTTCCTTACTTGTACTCTGTCTCTCTCTCAAAAATAAATAAACATTAATTTTTTTAATGTTTGTTTATCTTTGAAGTAAAATTTTTTTAACGTTTATTTATTTTTGAAGGAGAGAGAGACAGAATATGAGGGGGAGGGGCGCAGAGAGAGAGGGAGACACAGAATCTGAGAGCGAGCTAGCTCTGACTGTCAGCAGGAGCCCAACAGCAGGCACTTCAGTGCCTGTTTCTAACTGAATGAGCTCTTTCCTGTCGTAACATATATTTCCACACAATGAAAAGCCTCAATCTCTGATAAAATGCAAATCCTCTCCAAAAGGAATTACTAGGATTGTTCTCTGCTGTTCTTAATTAAATACATTGAAAAAATAACTTTGGGGATGATGGGGCCTTCTAGAGGAAGTTAAGTGTCGGAAAGGCGAAAAAGTAGTAGCTGACTTTCTAGCAGTGTGAAGAGAGGAGCTTTGGAAGGTCTGGGCCCACAGAGAGAGAATCCAGTTCCTAAATTGAAGTTTCAGAACGCCTCCGTTTTGCTGGGAGGTCGATTCTGACTGTTCCAAAAACCAGCGCTGTGGGGAATAACCGGAAATTCTTGTCTTGTATGCTTGCCAGGACTGGCTGCTGCTGTCATACCATGCTGGTCTTTGGAGATGAAGTTTTTAACTTCTTTCTGGTGATGGTCGGTCAGGCGATTGGATGGCGTCGCGCCTTGCCGTTTATGGCACAGATGAGCGATGTCATTCTGTCCACCAAACTACTTTAGCAGCTTTCTGTGGCGAACATGATCCCGAGAAAGTGAGAGGATTCCAGATCGAGAGCAGTTAAGGTAGGTGATTCTGCTGCTTGCAGAAAGTTCCGGTCGATGTGTGCCAGGGAGCTGTCCCGCCCCCGCCCCATGCCCGCCTGCCCGTCGGAAGACCGCTGGGAAGGCTGGTCCCATGAGCTTCTGGCCTGGAGACTCTCGGGTGCGTCAGCCTGAGTTACACTTACAAGGCTGGGCCGGGGCCAAGGCCCGGCGTTCGGGAGGAAATGATTGGGTTTCTCTGTGCTGGGATCTTGAGGACTTTGGGTGGGTGTGGAGGCCTGTGGTTGTGTGCCAGTGCCCACTTGCTGGGAAAGAGGAAGGGTCCTGCCGACCTAGGAGCAGAGGGGTGTGGTTGGTGTGGCTGCCTCAGCACCCTCCTAACTCAGAACAGGGATCACGCACTGAGGGGAGGGAGGGGTGGAGGAGAGGGAGCAGCCCTTTAGTGAGGAAGAAGGCAGCCAGCCCCTGCCTGCGTAGCGAACCTGCGGTGGTGAAATGAAGACCAACTATAAGCAAATTGTCCTTGGGATATGGTCACTCAGCGACACTGGACGTTGAGCGTGTGTAGCAGAGAATGACGCCGTGCCACCACCAACTGCCTGCCAGGAATGGATGCAAGACCAGCAGGAGAGGAGGGGAGGGGTCGGGTAGCTGCTGGCCAGAGGCAGAGGCGCTCTCCTACATGACCGTTCGCTCTGACCCTCCTGCCGTCACTCCTCCCTTGGTGTCCCCGGGATCAGGCCAGCCGAGCTCGGTGCCTGTTCCCCCATCTCTTATCATCCTTCATAAGGATACCCTTAGAAATTGTTTTGCTTTAATTTAATTAATTTGTTGTTGAGAGAGAAGAAGAGAGGTGAGGAAAGGCGAGAGTGGGAGAGAGAGAGATTCTTAAGCAGCCTCCACACTCAGGGCAGAGCACGACTCGGGGCTCGATCCCATGACCCCGGGATCATGACCTGAGCCGAAATCAAAAGGTCGGACGCTCAGCCAACTGAACCACCCAGGTGCCCTGGAATTGTTTCCATTTTAATTAAATTTAGACGTGCAGAGAAGTTCAAAATTAATAGTTTCCATATACCCCTTCCCCAGCTTCCCCAAATGTGAGCATCTCTCATAATCAGAGTGCAGTTGTCGAAACCAGAAAACATGAACATCGATGCAATACTATTCTCTACTTGAAGGCCTTACTTGGACCTCACCGGTTTCCCGCTAATACCCTAGGTGGAATGTTCAGGTTTCTCTTCACGATCTCGCACTGCATTTCGTTGTCATTTTTACGGAGTCTCCTGCAGTCTCTAACAGTTCGGTGTTTCCTGGCCGTTATGTGACCTTGACACCTAAGAAGAGTATTGGCCACTTTGTTGAATGTCCCTCCCTTTGGTTTTGCCTGACACTTTCTCATTATTGGACTAGGGTTTACTCACATGGGGCGGGAGACAAGAATACTACAAAAATGAGGTTGTACCATTCTCCATGTATCGTACCAATGGGGTTCTTGATCCTGGTATGAATCTTCTTACTGGTGATGCTCCCCACTACATTTGTGGGCATCAGCCCCCTATGTCCTTTTATACTTAGAAGAAAGAAATGATACATAGTTTTACCGGGTTTTACTTAAATTGAAATGTTACGAAGGAAAAAAAAAAAAGAAGGAAATTCTAAGAGTGGGAAAGCACGCGGGTGAGCCCCCTGGTGGGGCCTTCTGTATATACACTGAAGATTTGAGATCTTAAGGACTAGTCAGAGAGACTTTTAGTGTGATCGTATCCAAATTATAGACCTCGGTTGTCTCAGTATGCCAGTCTCCATTTACCATGTCCATTTTAAGAGCATACTCCCTGCCCTTTGTGCTGAGTAATTATATTCAAAGGACCAGAAAATCCTCAGAATAACCAAAAAACTTCTCTTTTTTTTCTTCATTTAGGTGAATTTCTTAAAGCCGCCTTCTACTTTTAACTTTGATGAATTTTTCACCAAGTGTATGACTTTCATGGATTATTACCCTTCTGGTGACCATAAAAGTGAGTACGCTCCATGGACAAGAGCCTTGGCCTCTACCAGTGCTCAGTAGGGTCTTAACCAATGCCAAGGGCTCTGTTATAAGCGACCGGCCTCCTCAGTACAGCTCCCAGCGGCCCACAAAGGGGACCTTCCTCCCATTCCTCATGACCGTGATTCCAAGTATAACCCTCCTCAGGCCGTCCATCTCTGCTTTGGCAACGACTCTTCTCCCTTATCTTCTAAACATGTACAAGTCTGCCGCGTGATAAAAGGAAAAATAAAACTTCTATAAACCCTACTTTCTGCCCCTAACTTTCACCACCAAAGTTCTCAGAAGAGTGATCTGTATGTCTGTGCCTCCTCCTATCTTCTCATTTATTTATTCACCCAATAAACTTGGGTGAAAATTACATGTGCCTCGGGGGCGGGGGGGGGGGGGGGGGGGGGGGGTACGTGTTCACCTACTTTTCTGTCTTGAGCCCCTGACGTCTAGCTTCTAGCCACTTCTGTCTACTGAGACTGTTTAGGTCAAGGCCACCAATGACCATCAGACTTGCCAAAGCAGATGACCTCTCTTCATGCCTCATCCTAGCTGGTTGGTCTTCAGTTACCCTCTTTTTATGGACATACCTTCTTCTCTTCCCTTGGGTTCCAGAATATTCTTTCCCAGTTTTGCTTTTACACCTTAAGCCACCTGTTTTCAGTGACTTTGCTTACCCTCCTTCCCATTCCTTAAATGTTGATGATTCTAGGGATCTGTCCTTGACCCCCTAGTCTTCTCTGCTCACATTTTGGAGACCTATTCTATGTATCCATGCTTAACTTCCCTAGGATTCCCAGCAGGCTGGGACTAGGGTGAGGAAAAAGAGAAGCCTAGGGCATGATTTAAGGAGGCACTACTCATGGTTTTGCAAGCTTCTTGCCCCACATAAGACCCAGCCCTAACTGCCAGAATTCAGCCCAGACTTTTTGTCACGATTTCTAGACCCCTAAAAATATTGCCCATGGGTCATTTTAACTGGTGTCAAACAGGTACTCAGACGTTAACACGTTGTTAAAAAATGGTTAAAGAGGACAATCTGGGTGATGCAAACAAACTTCAATGCTTCATGAGGTGTGGACAGTCTCCTTGTGGAGACCCGCAAAATGGGGTGGAAGGCAAGAAACTTTTATAAGAGAAAGATTAAAGACCAAGGAAGTGACAGACAGAAAATATCTGAGGGGGGGTGGGGGGGGCGCATAGTCAACCTCGTTTAGGGTGAGAAGACCAAGAGTTGGCTTGGCATTTGGGGACTGCCTGGCTAGACGGACTGCATTTCCGGTCAAGTGGGGCATTTCCGGGGACTTGAAAGTTCTGAAGTTTCAGTTTGCTGACGTGGTGCCACAGGCTGGAGCAGCTCCATTTTGGGCCTAGAAATGTAGGTCAACAAGGTCTGAACACTGAGCCGCTTACCTTTCCCTAGGAATCGTTTCTTCCTCCAAACCAGAAACTTCAGAAACATATTTTCTTTAATTATTTTGAGTTTATTTGTTTATTTTGAGAGAGACAGAGACAGCGTGAGTAGGGGAGGGGCAGAGAGAGAAGGAGAGAGAGAGAATCCCAAGCAGGCTCTGCACTGTCCTAGCAGAGCCCAATGCGAGGCTCAAACTCACAAAAGGGCAAGATCATGACCTGAGCCGAAACAGAGTCGGGACGCTTAACCGACTGAGCTATCCAGGTGCCCCAGAAGCATCTTTGAATCAGCCTTTTTTTTCATCATCTACATCCGGGTCATAAATATTTTGAACATCACGAGTAGTAGATTGTACTTGTAGTAAGCTGTACTATGTAAGGGGGCAGGAGGTGGGGTAGGGGGGAAACAGTAGGAAAATTGACCAGGAAAGGCCAAGAACCCCAAATCTCCAGAGACGGAGAAAGTCCAGTGATACTCTTTAAGCTTTACCTCATCCCATCTCCCAGATCTTAATGGTGCCTTCAGTAAAGGGCTCCTTCAGGCTTGATTTTGGGCTTTGCGTTGTCACAATACAATTCTGATACTAACCACCTGGACTCGGCACAGATTTCATGGGTTACGTTCTCTCCAAGACTCTCCTCACTTCAGACACCAGCAGCAAGCTCCAGGGTCACCAGGCCACCTGCACTTCTGACCAACTGTCTATAAACTCCCAGTGCTCCCAATAATTTACTGGAGTGACTCACAGATCTTAGGTGCTATGCTTATGATTTTAGTTTTATTGTAAAGGACACAAATCAGGACCAGGCAAATCAAGAGACACATAGGGTAAGACCTGGAGGGCCCCAAACATGAAGTCTCTGTGTCCTCAGGATATTTCACCCTCCCTGTACATCACTGTAGGATTACCAACCAAAGACAGCTCACCCAAGCTTTGGGTGTTCAGTTTTTATTGGGGTTTTATTAAGAACGCATGGTTGATTGAATCATCGGCCATGTGGTTAAACTCAACCTTCGGCCCCCTTGCCCTCTTCAGGGGTCAGAGGTCAGGCTCATATCACATGGCTCAAAGTCACCACCCTTTCCTCACATGGTTGGTGTTTCCAGCACAACTAGCCCAATCCTGAGACCTCATTAGCATAAATTCCGCTGTGGTCCAAAGGGCCCACCATGATGAACAAAGACAATCCCATTACTTGAAAAATTCCAAAGATTTAGAAGTTACTTCCCAGGTACCAGGAACAAAAACCAGCCAAAGTCTTTATTTTACTACAGGCACACGTACCTCTCCATAACCATTGCCACTGCAGTAGCCTAAACCTTTATAATTGCTGCTCCCTTGCCTCTCTCCACAGTCTGTTTCATATCATTTCTTCTTAATTTCCAGTACTCACATGGGATTCCAGCCAGACTAGAATCTTTACCACAATTCCTTCTTTTGTCCAGAAGATATGGGCTTTTGTTTTTTGTTCTGTTTTTGTTTTTTTAAGTAGGCTCCGTGGAGCTCAACATGGGGCTCAAACTCAAGACCCTGAGACCAAGAGTCCCATGCTCTGCTGACTGAGCCAGCCAGGTGCTCCCTAGAAGATATGTTTTATCTTGTCAGTGGCGGGTCTGATTCTTTTGTGCTACTGAAGGAGAAAATGCAATAATTTTCCCCCATTGGTTTGCTATGTACTTAATTTAACAAAATTCAAGAATGGCTCGCACTCAGTCTATCTCTCTCTCTCAAAAACAAAATAAAAACATTTTTTTAAAAATTAAAGGGAAAAAAAAAAAAGAATCCTCATTGGATTTCCGTTGGTTCTGCTTGGCTGCTAGGTATCCCAGAGTCCCCTGACTGAACATAAAGACCACTGTCTGAGGGAAAGGAGACTAGGAGACTCCGGTCCCCAGCACTGCAGACCACACTTCCTTTTCTGACCCTGCCCCTCCTTCTGCTCTCTTAGACCTCCTGAGACTTGCGTGCATGCTGGAGTCCGATCCTGAGCTGGAGTTGTCCCTCCAAAAGTATGTGATGGAAAGCATATTGAAGCAGGTACTTTCGCAGTTTAATTTATTGGCTTTTGGGGTGTCAGGGATCCCGGACAACTGGAAAGATCAAGAAGACTAGTAGCTAGTAAAATATTTCACTGAACTAAAAAGAGATGGGGCCAACGTTCTCCATGTGTAGGTGACTATCACATTGGTTTTTCAGATCAGGATACTTTTAAGAGTTAAAGGAGGCGTTGTTCACTATGAGTTAAAGAGTTAAAGAGTTAAAGTCACCCTTTCTATATGCCAGTTAGCAGATCTCAAGTGAATTCACATTGGTACCATGTTTCTCTAAGTCACGTACCTTAGATCTTGAGCTTCGAGAGTTAACAATACAGACAATGAGAATGCCCACAACTACCCCCACCCCCTAAAATTTTCCCTTTGTGTTTGCTTAGATCTGGGCTCTCTTAAATGTATTAACTCATGTGAATTAGAACTCTCTCGCCACTCACCATATGCCAGGCATTCTGCTATTTCGTGTATTTATTCTTCACAATTCTTGCCAAATATCTTCATCCTCGTTTTACATGTGAGAAAACTGAGACCCAGAAGGATACCAGGAACTTTCCTAAGGTTATACAGTAAGAGACGTCGCCAGGGTTTGAACCTCGTTCTATCTGAATCCTACATTTTTTTTGCACAGGCTGTCCACCTTCCCAATATTTGAGTGTTTTAATCCTTACTTCCATCAAAATGCAGTTGTGCCCTGGAGGAAATCTTTGGGCAAACCTGAAGAGGGGGCAGCTGCCTTCATAGAGTGAGTTGAAACGGTATCAGAAGGCACCCTGCCCCCTTCAGTCCAGTTTAGAAGCACTACGTCCGGTCCCTGCGCTGTTGGACTCCTCAAGATTTCTGAAGCTCCAGAAAGCCCTCCCCCCTCTGCCTCCAAGAGATACAACACATTACACTTCTTCAGCTACAGCCAGCTGAGGGAAGGTCTACGGGAAGGGGCTACAAGATAGACTCCGGGACTTGTGGGTAGGAATGATGAACGTGGGGTGAAAAGATACAGCTACGCGGGCTGAAAGGAGGCAGAAGACAGACCTTTCACAACAGCACCAAGGCTTTTCCTGCACCTCAACCATAGAGATCCTTGGAGATGCAGTGGTTGCATTTTTCCAAAGCAAAACAGGATCGCCCGGTCCGACAGAATAATCTTTAGCTCACTTATTTACCGGGTTTAATCTTGAATACTATTTATTTATTTAATATGGATTTCTTATTCAGTGATTTATCTGAGAAATCAAAGGAAATCGTCGTATCAATTCGTTAGAAGTTATTCTTTTAGGAAAAGAATAAAATCACCTGACACCAGGACGGTGCCATCCAGTTAGGAAGCGTGACTGCTGGGTTTCCTATACGCAGTTCCTTTCGTTCGGAAGATACGGTGTTTGGGGGTTTGTTTTGTTTTTGTTTTTCTAATACTCTCCGTGGGGCTCAAACTCAAGACCCTGAGACCAAGAGTCCCGTGCTCTACTGACCGAGCCAGCCAGGTACCTCCTAGAAGATATGTTTTATCTTGGCAATGGAGGATCTGATGCTTTTGTGCTATTGAGGGAGAAAGCGCAGCAATTTTCCCCCATTGGTTTGCCATGCACGCAACTTAACAAAATTCAAGAATCATGACAGGCAGGCATGATTTGGGAACACCCTCCTTTCCCCGGGCTTGGGGTGGATGGACGTGGACAGAAGAGGGGAGCCGAATGACATATATACCTCCCCAGAGACGCAGGGGCGTGTTGTCACTGGAACATCGGACTAGGAGCCCGGAGATTTGGGTTCTGTGTGACCCTGGGAAACTTAACATTATTTCTCCACGTCTCCGTTATCTAATCAGTAAAGAGAGGACCATAATGCCTATTTTATCTCATTTGAGGATAAGGTGGGGTAGGATGTGAAAGTATTCCTGAAGGTCCCAGGCCGTGAACGTACCAGGTTGGATTACATAATAGGCTGTTCTTATCCCTAAATTGTAAGGGAGCCAAAAGGAACAGTGCTTGTCTCTGTTACTGTGACGGCTCCTACTGGCCCTAGGGAGCTAGCCATTGGGGCAAGGATGTGGTTGCTGGCCAAAAATGAGCAAGTCTGTGAATTCACTTTGAAAGAGATTTTGATAGAGCAGATCTCCATCTGCTCGACTTTGGGCTGCCTCCGCCATGTTGTACGTCGTGCGTTCCGGTAACTTCAGCTCCCCAGAGGATCGCAAAAGGCCAGCGGCCTTCTTGGGGGTGGGGTTGCAACAAAGAATCCACTGCCAAGGATCCGGGCTAAAGAAAGCCGCTCTCAACTCTGCAGATCGATGACAAACAGCTTCGGGGTTACCTGTCGGAGCTTCGCCCTGTGACCATTGTGTTCGTGAACCTGACGTTTAAGGACCAAGACAAGGCAGAAGTCATCGGCTCGGCCATCCAGGATGCCTGTGTGCACATCAATTCTGTCCTGAGGGTCTCCCGAGGCCAAATCAACAAAGTCTTCATGTTTGACAAGGTAAATGTGAACTGAGGGGCGGAAACCTACCAATAAGTTAAAGTTGGCGTTCACACCTATGGACGTTGGTGAGAGGGAGAGAACAGACACTTCTCACCTAAAAATATCTGTCTCTATTTGGACTTCTAGAAATAGCTTGTATGGTGGATATGGCCCTTACTGCGTGCCACCCATTATTCTCAATACTTCACACGCATTAACTCATTTCCTCCCGCGGGACTACTCTAAGAGGTAGGTGCGGTTGTTGTTGTCCCCATTTTACAGATGAGCGTCCTGAGACAACGCGAGATTCAGTTTTGCTCATCATCATCCCGTTAGTAGGTGGTGGGCCGGATTCGAGCCCAGGCAGTCCGCCTCCCCGGTCTCTGCCCTCAAGCACTGTTGCCCGACTAGCTCTTGCCATGTGCACATCTCCAGCCCAGCGTATAGTGCATCTCCTGGAGACTTTAGGTCACGTGTCTGGTGACTTTCACGCTCCAGAAGCCTGTGTCCAATATTCCCTACCTGCCGCGTCTACACCTCCAGTTCCCCTTCCAGCTTCAGCAGGGGGAGGGAGGCTGAGTGGGGTGGAGGGGCACCTGTAGCTTCTGGGTGTTTGGTGGTTTTAGTAAGTTTATTTACTTCTTTTGAGAGGGAGTGTGTGTGAGTGGGGAGGGCCAGAGACAGAGGGAAGGAGAGATTACCCAAGCAGGCTCGAATGTCAGCGCGTAGCCCAAGAACTCACAAGCCGTGAGATCGTGACCTGAGCTGAAATCAAGAGTTGGACACTTAATCAACTGAGCCATCCAGGTGCTCCACTTCTGGATATTTTTAATCTGCTCCTTTAAAAAAAATTTTTTTTAATGTTTATTTTTGAAAGAGAGAGAGAGAGAGAGAAAGTGCAAGCAGGGGAGGGACAGAGAGAGAGGGAGACACAGCATCTGAAGCAGCCTCCATCCAGGCCCTGAGCTGTCAGCACAGAGCCCCATGCAGGGCTTGAACCCACAAACTGCGAGATTATGACCTGAGCCGAAGTCGGATGCTTAACAGACTGAGCCACCGAGATGCCCCTTTTAATCTGCTCTTAATAGGTTCAGAGAAAAACAATGTGGTGACCAAATTACCACAGAAGTGCTAGGAGAATTGATTCCCCATCTCAAGTTTTTGCATCGTAAGAGCAGAGCACTAAGTCACTGCCCCACATTCACTCATTCACTAATTTGAGAGCATTTATTGAGCATTTGGTAGAAAGGGTTACCCTCTAGTCTTTGCACAGACCTGAATCAGGGCTTCCTTTATCCCATCAAGATAGAACCCAGCGCCAACTGGGATCTGACCCTTAGATTCTTTTTGGAGAGGGTTAAAGAAATCGAGGCATTCTCTTTTGCATTTCATCAGGATATGTCACGTATACAGACTGAAATTTGTAGCCCATCATCCTTTAATTATTATGCTCTTTTCTTATAGACAACAGCATCTGACGCAGGTAATTGTTTAAGTGATTGATACTAGGATTGCAAAGCTTCAGAGTTTAATGTCTGCTTGGAACAGTTAAGTCTATGCCAAGAAAAAGCCCTGTCAGTTTAAGCCATTATCCCTAAGAATAATAACAATATCTGAAAAGAACTTTAGAGTTCACAAAGTATAACTGTATACCAAGTTTACATTATAAATGTATATAATGTTTTATATAAACTTACATATATAACATTAAGTTTATAAAAGTGTATATACTGTAAAGTACATGTTTGGGGCGCCTGGGTGTCTCAGTCGGTTGAGCGTCTGGCTTCAGCTCAGGTCATGACCTCACAGTCCGTGGGTTCGAGCCCCGTGTCAGGCTCTGTGCTGACAGCTCAGAGCCTGGAGCCTGCTTTGGATTCTGTGTCTCCGTCTCTCTCTGCCCCTCCTCTGCTCACGCTCTGTCTTTCTCTCTCTCTCTCAAGAAATGAATAAACATTAAAAAATACAAATAATAAAGTCTATATTCTATACAAAATACAGAATACATGTAATATACTATGTAGAGTATACACATGCTGTAAAGTAGCCTGCAAAGTTATACATGTGTATGTGTATATGCATAGAGCCCTCATTTTAGGAGCCAGAGCAACCTTCGCAGGTCTATGTCATATCCATCTGCAGATCGATAAACTGAAGTTCGCTGCGCGTAATTGACTTATCCAAGTTCCCACACTTGTGAAGCGGCCTGAGAACACAGATTTTCTGACTGCAGAGCGGGTGCCTTTTCCACTGCTCTGTGCTGTTTTCTCAGATTTAAACTCAGCAGCGCCTAGTGTAAGACCTTGGCCGCAGGGGGAGAGACAGGTGGGTGCCCACAAATAGCCCAGCACAACCCATTGTCTCTGGAGAAAAGCAAGCCCTCCTCAGGCTAGAAGTCAGAGGACGTTTCCTAAAAATAAAATAGATGTGTGAGAAATCACGATCAAGGGTGACTCAGAAAGTGAGTGTTGCTGCCCTCCTTCCAGTAGCCTTCTGGCTGGTTCAGTTTAAATTTTTTTTTTTTAATGTTTTTTAAAATTCATTTTAGAGACCGAGACAAAGCATGAGCAGGGGAGGGGCAGAGAGAGGGAAACAGAATCCGAAGCAGGCTCCAGGCTCTGAGCCGTCAGCACAGAGCCCGACGTGGGGCTCGAACCCACGAGCCATGAGATCATGACCCGAACCCAAGTGGGTTGCTTCACCCACTGAGCCACCCAGGTGCCCCCGGCTGGTTCAGTTGAAAGATGGCCCTCCGCCAGCTGTGTGTGCTGACTCTCTCCCTCACAGGGCTGTTCCTTCCTCTGTGTCTTTGGTTTCCCTGGGGAAAAGGCTCCTGACGAAGTCACTCATGCCTTGGAAAGTGCTATGGATATATTTGACTTCTGCTCTCAGGTTCACAAAATCCAGTGAGTGTTGACCCTGTTCCCATCTGGTGGACCCTGACCTTTTCGTAGCATATGGGGAGATAGCACAAACGGTCAGGGGACAGGAGGGAAGGAGAAGGCTGTCGTTGACTGGAAGCCCTTCTGTTCGTACTCATTCCTCGGGGCCAACCCAGCCGTGATGCAGCCATAGAGGGATGGTGAAGGCAAAATGCAGAAAAGGACACTCTTAAAAAGTCAAGACATAGCAGGTTTGCAAGAAAACCTACTTGGGTTGCCTGTCTATGCTCTGGCTTCTTGGTAGAGGTTGAACTCCCAACACCGTATGGGAGACTTGAGTTGATTTTGAAAAAAAATTGTAAGCTTATTTATTTAGTTTGAGAGAGTGAGTCGGGGAAGGGCAGAGAGAGAGAGAGAGACAGAGAGACAGAGAGAGAGAGAATCCCAAGCAGGCTCTGTGCTGACAGTATGGAGCCCGATGCGTGCCTCGAACCCACAAACCCTGAGATCATGACCTGAGCCAAAACCAAGAGTGGGACCCTTAACTGACTGAGCCCACCCAGGTGCCCCTTGAATTGATTTTTTTCCTTCACATTTATTTATTTTTGAGAGACAGAGAGAGACAGAGCATGAGCAGGGGAGGACAGAGAGAGAGAGGGACACAGAATCCAAAGCAGGCTCCAGGCTCTGAGCTGTCAGTGCAGAGCCCGACGCGGGGCCCCAACCCAGGAATCACGAGATCATGATGTAGGCCGAAGCCAGACGCTTAACCGACTGAGCCACCCAGGTGTCCCTTGAGTTGATTTTTAATAACTGAGAGATGCAGTGAGTCCTTGGGTTGGAAATTTATATACTGATCTGATCTCAAGATGATCCACTCACAGTTAAGCTGTTAAGAAGGTCAGGTTTAGCATCCCCAGCCCGGGCTGCCTAAGAGCCCAGGCCCTCAGGTTTGCCTCGCCCAAGCACCCCAATGTCCCCAACTCGGGGCTCTACTTTAACAGGTACCACCCCCCTGGCTCTAAGCATTTCTGCCACGTCAGCCCCTCGTCATCCACCCGTGCAGCCACGCTCATGTATTAACTAAGCTAGCTTTTGACGGCCACACACTACATCTGAGTTCCTCCATGGCTTTGTTCTTTCTCACCGTAACAAACATCGTTGAGTTGGTTACAATGCTTACAGTGTCACTCAGCAATTCAAGTCCACCTGCGGGGGTGAGAGGTTATTTTCCAGAAAAGTGGCTCAGATGGGTATTGAAAAGTAGCAGGAAAGGGAAGTGATTTGTCACTTCTGAGAACTTAGTTCTGCGTCTCAAGCTGTGTCTCCTTCGCACGTCCGGGCCCTGGGCAGTCGCCCTAAACTCCCCACAAGGGAAGACAGTTACTTATCGAAACGCCTCCCTGCCCCCCTGCCCGTTCCCCTGCCCCATTCGTCATCGTGTCCCCAACCTCCCCACTTTCTCTCTGCTCTGTACCTTTCCCTTACAACTCTCTTGCTTTCTCCCGGATGCCAGTACCGTTTCCATCGGCGTGGCCAGCGGGATCGTCTTCTGTGGAATCGTCGGACACTCTGTGAGGCATGAATACACAGGTGCGCTGAGCTAACTCCTCCTCTCTCCTCGCCTTGTCCTCCGGCCTTGGGGGAGGAAGGATAGCTAAGTGAGACAGGGGCCCTGCCCTCTGAAAGCTTGGAGCCTTCCAGGAGGAGCCCAGCCACGTAGCTTTGCCCCTTGGCAGCTCGTTGCTTGCAAAGCGTGGGTTTCTGAGCTGTGCGTGCATATCAGAGATAAGTAGTCGTTCGTGGGGATCTGTAGAGGCTGTAAGCGCATGGCATGAGGCCGCCTTTATAACCCTTTCCTGTGAACATTAGACAGTTACTCCTCGTAATTCCTATTAAAAGTCCCTAAAGAACATGCCACTTGGGGACAGTGTGTTCCAGATTGCATTCTGCTAGTTCGATGGCTCTTTTCTCCCCGGCCTTTGCCCTCCTCCCTTCTGTTTCAGTGATTGGCCAAAAAGTCAACATAGCTGCCAGGATGATGATGTACTACCCAGGAACCGTGACTTGTGACTCCGTCACCTACAGTGGCAGCAACCTCCCAGCCTACTTTTTCAAAGAGCTTCCAAAGAAAGTCATGAAAGGTGTTGCGGACCCCGGACCCGTCTATCAGTGTTTGGGACTGAATGAGAAAGTGTGAGTGTGGGGCGTTGATTTTGCGGTATTCTTTTTTTAGTAAAGAAGTGGGAAAATTAGGATAGCGAAAACCATCAGTCACCCGTGCCCGATTTGAACGCAATTTATGAAACTGAAACCGATTCCTTCCCCAGAACGAGGACCAGATTTCCCAAATCCTTCGTCCTTCTCTATCTTACTGATAGTATAGCATCACGATAGTGGTATGAGCCCATCCTGCCCTCACTACTGATAATCTAGGGGTGATTCTTCAAAGGTGGTGCAAACTGAACAGAGAACCCCTCATTTGAGTATCTTTTGGGACCCAGATGGACACAGCGGCCAACCATTAAGTATTTACTGATCGTACCAACTATGTGCCAGGCATGGATGGGACTAAAAGAGTGTGAGATATTTTTCCTCCTCTCGGTCTTTAGTGAAATCTGTTCCCCAGAAGCCCAGCTTAGATACATAGGGATCCCCTTGGAACTTAAAGTCCTTCAGCGGCTTCCATTTTCATGATAATGTTCAAATCCCTCAAAATGACATACAGCCATCTGCCTTTCCAACCGTATCTCCTCCTGTGCCCTCTCCTCTGGGCTGTCTAAATAGAGTGTCTTCCCCATCCCCTCCCCCCCCCTTGTCTACTGGGACAACCACAGTCAACTTAGCATTTTCCTCCTCTCTGTAACTCTAGCACATACCCATCACGATTGCTGATCTGATACACATTATGAGCTTTTTGATGATAGTAGCTATTTCCTGTTCATTTTTAATACTCCCAGGGCTTGGCACATAGTAGGCACTCATTAATAACAAGTAAATGAGTAATACGGAAAGTGGAAAGGTATTTATTCTTTATATTAGCGAGCTAGAATCTAGGTCTTAAAGGATCATATAACAGTACCAGGGCTGCAGTTGGTTCAAGGAGACTTTATTATTCATCTTTGTATTCCCAGGGTTCAGCACTGTACTTGGCATGCATAGACCATCAATAAAATGCTGTGTGAATAAGTGAATGAATACTACTAATTTTTTTGTGTGAGTCCTTATTAAGTGTTAGGCACTTTACCTCAAAATACGTAATTTATTCTTAGTGTCAGCCACATCAGGGAGACACTATTATTGTCTCCACTTTATAAATTTAAGAGCTGAGATTCAGAGATGCAACGACTTGTCCGTGGTCGTAAATCTGGCAAACAAAGAGCCAAGATTCAAAATGCCACAATAACGCTCCGTTATAGGAAGCCCCAGTAAATACAGTGGTATACCACAGTAAATATTTACTTATCCCACAAATATGTGGGACCCAATTGATCTTGGCTGGGTTTGGCTGATCTTGTCTATGCCTGTTCACATGCCTGGAGTTCAGCAGTTTGTTGGCTGATCCAGGACGATGTCGGGGGGGCGGGGGGAGGGGGGACGGGGGGTAGGTGGGAAGTTTGGCTGATATAAATGAGACGATGGCTCTATGTGTGCCATCCTCCATCGGCCTGGCCCAGGCCTGTTCTCATGGCAATATCAGAAGAGCAAGAGAAAGCAAGCCCAAAGGCCAAGCATTTGTCAAGCCTCTGTGTCCTGTTTGGTAACGTCCCACGGGCAGGGGCACCTGGGTGGCTCGGTTGGTTGAGCCGGCCCTCAACCTCTGATTTCAGCCTCAGGCTTCAGGGTCACGGGGATCAGAGTCTCAGATCGGCCCACACGGAGCCGCCTGAGATTCTCTCTCTCTCCCTCTGTCCCTCTCCCCTGCTCGCTCTCTCTTTCTCAGACAAAAATTAAAACGAACAAACAAACAAAAAAAACCCATCCCATTGGCAAAGCATCACAAGGATAAGCCCACAGCAGGGAAGGCCTGGTAGAGACAGAGCCTCCAGGGCGTGGATAGCGTGGCGAGGGATCAAGTAAATAGGGGCGCCTCTGGCATGAAGGCCTGTTGTTGCCCCACTGCTTCTCAGGTCATCACGGTCCATGTCCGTGAGTTCTGGAGCCCCCTGCCAGGCTCTACATGGCCTGGCCTGGACCTCACTGACCCCAGGTCTCCCCTCTCTCTCTCTCTGGCCCTCCGCTCATGCTCTGGGTCTCTCTGTCCCAAAAATAAATAAACGCTAGTAAAAAGAAGTGGGCCATTAATGCAGTCCGTCTGCCACAGAAATTCAGGACCATCTCGTCCCAAAGGCTGCCCTCCTCATAGTTCTTCTATACCATTTCTGCAGATGAGATAGTGTCGAAATGCACATACAAATACGAACAGGCCTGGGTCCTGCCCTGAAAGTTCACAATTTAATGGGGAAGACCAACATATACAATACGCCCCGTGAGCTGTGTATTACGCGGAAGTTGGTACGTGCTATAACAGAGACGTAACACAACGGTATGGCAGTGCAGACAAGGGGATGGTCCACTTGACTAAAAAGTGGACCACTTTCCTTCAAGAAACAGTAGTGCGCAGTGGGCAAGCGTGTATTCACTGGCCCAGTTATAGATACTGATTCTGTCAGTATTCTCCATTCCTGCCACCACTCCCCATGGGATCTCGGGCAAATTAAATGCTCTGCATCTCAATTTCCTCATTTGTAAAATGGATATAATCGTACCTTCTTCATAAGGTTTTTGTCCGGGGTAAAGGGTGATACGTGGGCGGAGGACTTGAAACCATGCCAGGCACACAGCATGTGCTCACCAAATCACCGTCTGGGCACTTGGTGGAATTTTCTATATTTCCGGGTTCTCACTCTAACATCTTTTCTTTTCTTCTCTTCAGCATGTTTGGTATGGCATACCTCATCTGCAACAGAAATGAGGGCTACCCTTTGCTGGGTAGGTAGTAAGCCGTGATTTTGAAGCTTCTTTACTGAACTATAACAAAACATACAGAAAAGAATACCAGCGTTAAGCGTGCCTCCTAACGAATGATCACAAAGTGGGCGTACAATCACCTTCCAGGCGAAGAAATGGAAAAATAGATTCCTGTGTGTGTCTTTTGGCGAACACACGTACGTGTTTCTGTTGAGGTTCGGGAGATGGTTTGGGAGATGATACCAAATAATTGTCCAAAATGGTTGTATTTACTTATATGCTGACCCGCAGTGTTAGAGGGGAGTTCCTCATCCTCACCAACAACTTCGTTTTAAGTCTTCATAATTTTAATAGTTCTGTTGGGTGTGTGGTAGTGTCTCACTGTGATTTCCATTTGTGCTTCCCTGATACGGCTGAGTTCCTTTTTCATATATTTGTTGGCCATTTGGGCATCATCTTTTATAAAGTGTCTATACAAATCTGCTGCCTACTTTCCAGTTGGGTTGTATCTTTATTTTAGATCTGTTGGCATTTTTTGTATATTCTGGACACAGGTCCGCTGTCGTTTGTGTTTCTTGTACGTAACTCCTCCCATCCCGTGCTTGCCTTTTCACCCTGTTAGCGATGTGTTTGATGAACAGAATATTGTATTTTAGTGTAATCTAGGTTATATAAATCTGGTCTTTGACAGTTAGTGCTTTTGTACACTGTTTAAAAGTTTTCCGTCACCCCAAATCGTGAAGACCTACTTTTGAATCATGAAAATCTTCCAGAAACTTTGTTTTTACCTTTTACATTTAGATCTATGATCTATCTGGCAATGGCAGTGATGTTTTTGTGATTCTTGGTGACAGGAAGCGTATCAAGAGACAGCTAACTTGAGACAAGATTAGACAGGGAAGGGGGCCTAAAATGAGGTAAGGATACACCCTCTGGGGGAAGAGACCGTCATGAAGATAGGCCTGTGGAATCTGAAGACAGCCATTTCTAGGAACACTTGTAATTTTCTTCTGTTAGATGAACATCCCTAAAAGTATCATCCTAAGTTAAATCCCGGTCCTAACTGTGTTAGGACAATCAGGAGGAGGCTCTGTCCCACACTTTGGGGGGATATCAGGACAGAATCTTGATTTCAGCAGAGCAGAAAGAAGGCAGCGGTTCCAGAACTGAAAAGGGTACTTGGATCCTCAGTAGTGTGTTTTTCAGAGTCTAATCACTTCTTGTAAATACAGATTCCCAGACGCTTGAAGGCTGGAAAGGAGAAGGAATGCTCACCCTCACCCTCCTCCGAGGCCTTACTGCCTGTCCTACGATATGATTGTTGTCACGGCGACTGACAGCAAATGGAAGTCCTAACCCCCTTGTATAAGACCAAGGACTCCATCCGACCGCCATAGCAGGCCACATTGGCACAATCTGCTTATGTTTCCCAATCTGGTCTGGGCGCCTCTTTGCCCTGATTCCATCGCTGTGAGGTAAAGATCAAGCCCACACAACCTTTCCTTATCGCTCTAGCCAAAAAGAAACTTGTCAGAGGTGAGGACTATAGGAAATACCCTTTTTTTTAACAAGAGTTCCTGAAAATGAAATCGTATATGCTAACAGCATAGATGTTAACAAACCTATACTCAAAAAGTGTCCCAGATATTAGGGCCTCGTTGGGAGAGAAACAAGGTGACGTGACTTTTCTGAGTTACCTCCGTGAGGTTCAGGCCAAAGAAGAGTGTGACGCATCTCACAATATTGAAGTTCAAATGCATTTTCAGAGAGGGAACGTTTCCCCCAAATGAAGCAGTGAAATCTGCAGAGTGGTTCTCGCTGAATCGCCCGGAAATTTGCCTTACCACGTAAACAGTCGGCTGCTTTGTATAAAACATCTAAGCTTAGAGTAATCGTCCTGGTTTTCGCTAGACGTTAGATAACACCGGGCTATGTGTTTGCTCTGTGAAGGGGTCCAAAATGGTCCCACCCCCACCCCCGCCAGCAGTGACCAATCCAGCAAAGAAGAAAGAGCCAGCCCTGAAAGGTTCCCAAAATTGTGGGCTGGGTTTCAGATCTCAGGCAGGCTTCCTATTACATATATTTAAAAAGATGTAAGAAACACATGGCGAGCATGTGTTGAGTTTCACGATCAGAAAAAGACTATATTTTATAATGTAGGTTGTTCCTGTGATAGAAATAATCTACACATGACTTTTGAAAGCAAGTTGAATTTTCTTAGTACGGATAATGTTTCCAGTAGCCCTGAGATAAGGATCATTTCTCATAGAAGAGAGCAAGTTTCTTTCACAGAAGTAGGAATAAAAAATGTTTTCCATAATTGTTTAACGTGGGAACCCTAATTTAATAAATTTATTTCCCAATGTAATCTATAGATTACTTCTCATGTGCTATAGAGGAAAAGAAAAAGGAAAAGAACACAAGCGCCAGGGTCAGACAACCCTGGTTTAATTCTGGGTTGTGTAATCCAAGCAGTTTGCTACCTTAAATCTCCGTTTTCTACACTAAAATTAAATGGACGTTATAATAAGCGTTCTAAGAATACTTGGCCTCACAGCGTGTGGGGATCAGATAAGACTGTAACTAGAAAGCTCCAGAGAAAGGTTTCAAAAATTTTTAAAGTGCACAGTCTCTCAAGAAAGGTCATGAGCAATTCCATGGGAATTCTAAAGGTATTTGTAGGAGCGTGATCACTATGTGTTTTTTTTATATATGTCTCGACTACTTTATGTTGATTAGGTTTGCTCCCTTTTTAAAAAATGCAAATTACAGGACGTGATAAGGAGATCAAATACTTCATGTGTAGTATGAAGGAATTTTTGGTGTCCAACTGCAGCCGAGTCCTAATGTACGAAGGATTATCAGGATATGGAAAAAGCCAGATACTTATGGAAATTGAGTATCTGGCCCAAGGTGAGAACCACAGGTGAGTGTCGTTTCTTGAGAACTCAGAGATTCCTGATGTCCTTAAGAGTTTCACTTATTGTCATGTTCCTCTCCTCGATATAATTTGCCTTTTGTGAACTGTCAGTGCAAAGACAGAGTATGCCCCGTTACTTCCTGTATCTTACTGGATTCAGTGACATCGCGTGTGACAGCCGGAAGGGGCGCCATGAATTAGCTAACGCAGTCTATCAGTTACTGGGTGCCATGCCCTCTGTACTAAATAGGTAATAGATGATAAACAGATTGAACTAAGAAAATGAGAAGCTGGGCTGACCCCTGGAGATCCCGATTTAATGCCAGGCGGGGCTTGGATATCAATATTTTAAAGCTTCCTAAGTAATCCCAGTGTGCGGACACTTTGAGAACTCCTGGCATGGACGTTGGGGGCAAGATCGGGTCAGCAGAACCAACAGAAATTTATCCAGCTGGAGATAGAGAATGATAGGCCTCTGGATTCTCTCTCCTTTGGAAGGCAGAGCTAATGTACTTATCTCACCCCGTTCATGTGTTTTCATACAAGAAATGTCACGTGGCGCCTCACGGACAGCGTGATACTCAGTGGCGGTGACGGTGACTGAGGTGATGATGGTGTCTCATGTCCCTTCACCATCGGACCTCAAGCCTTTAAGGGGAATATGCTTAGAAACCTTACATTGCCTGTATTTCTACTCTTTTTTCAATGTCAAGCCTGCGAAAGGCCAGTTTGTAAATATCTTTAACGTCGCTGGTTATTCATAATAACCAGAAGACATTTATGTATTCATTCATGTATTCCGTCACTTATTGAGTACCTACTGTGTTCCGGGAACTGTTGAGGGCTGTATTTGTTTGCTAGAATTGTCATAACAAAGAACCACAAACTGGGTGGCTTCATGGGCAGAAATGCATTGCCTCCGGGTACTGGAGGCTGGGAGTCGGAGACCGAGGTTGACAGCTGGGTTAGTTCCTGCTGACGGCTGTGAGGGACACTCTGTTCCATGCCTTTTCCCCTAGCTTCTGGTGGTTGGCTAGCAATTGTAGGCTTGTAGAAACATCACCCGATCTCTGCCTTTATATAGTGTTCTCCCTGTGCCTTGTCTGGGTCCAAATTTCCCCTTCTTAATTTTTTTTCAACGTTTACTTATTTTTGAGACAGAGAGAGACAGAGCATGAACGGGGGAGGGTCAGAGAGAGAGAGGGAGACACAGAATCTGAAACAGGCTCCAGGTTCTGAGCTGTCAGCCCAGAGCCCGACGCGGGGCTTGAACTCACGAACCGCAAGATCATGACCTGAGCCGAAGTCGGACGCTCAACCGACTGAGCCACGCAGGCGCCCCAAATTTCCCCTTCTTATAAAGAAACTAGTCATTTTGGATTAGGGGCCCAATCTATGCCGCTACATAACTGCTCACGGAAGAGGAGAGAGAGAGACGATGAAAATAGGATCGGTGAGGACAGTGATAGAGGTGTGCAACCGGAATACTGCAGAAGCTAGGACAAACCCAACCTTGTATGTAACGCAGCCTTGGGGCTCCAGGAAAGATTTCCAGGAGGCTGCACCTGAGCTGAGATTTGCAGACAAGCAGGAGACGAGGGGTTACCAGGGGCTGTGAGGAGTGGTAAGCTTCCAGGCTGGGGAGATAGCCCGCACGAAGGCACGGGGAGAAGAAACCACTCTGGGTGTTCAGGGAGGTCTCACCAGTTCGTTGGCAGAGGATGGACTGCTGGGCAGAGTGGCAAGAAATGGCACACTGAGACCCGGAAAAGGCTTGTATGTCACAGAAAAGAAGCATAGGCTTACACCTTTTGGCAATGGGAACCACGGAAGACTTGCAGATCGGAGAGAGAATTGGCATCGATCCCGTTACGTCGGGCTTCTGTAAAGGTGGTGCGTCGAATCATGGCGCTAGGCAAGGGTAGGAGCATGTTACACAGCAGTGCGGGTGAAAGTCTGAGGGCCTAGAGCAAGGTGGTGGGAGTGGGGCCGTAGAAGAGGGCAGAGTCAGGGTCAGTTAGGAGGGCTCAGGGTCATAGCGGGATGAGGGGGTGTATCTGAAGCAGGAGTAACGAACAGCTTCCAGACAATATAGGAAAGTTCTGTTGTAACTGACTACGAAACACCGGAGCGTTCCTTTGGTCTTTCTTGTTTTCGAAACATACATTTAAGAACTCTCTTCTGCTTCTTGGCTTTCTCACGAACAGGACTATCGCTATCGCGTTGACTAAGATCAGCTTCCATCAAAATTTTTATACCATCCAGATATTCATGGCCACTGTACTAGGTCTCGATACTTGTAAACATTATAAAGAACGACAGACCAACCTTCAAAATAAAGTCAAGACACTGTTGGACGAGAAGTTCCACTGTCTTCTGAATGACATCTTCCACGTCCGGGTGAGTCACTAGATCTGACACCTGCAGGGAAGAGGGACAGGGCCCGCGCAGCGACCCCTGCCTGAGGTCTGATGCCTTAGCGTCTCTTTGCCGTTTATCGCCTTTTTCCTTTCTCATGTGGAGAATCTGGGTGATGAGGAGATGGTTCCCAAACGTCTTTGAATGAGCATGCCCCTTCCTGAGACATTGGAGGTATCTAGAAATACCATACTCAAAAAAATCCCAAACGTGCTGATTTGTTTTGCTCTCACCTTCCCATCGTAGCTACTCTGGACTAGCTGGTCCAGGAGACTGCCAGTGCAAAGACAGAGTATGCCCCGTTACTTCCTGTATCTTACTGGATTCAGTGACATCGCGTGTGACAGCCGGAAGGGGCGCCATGAATTAGCTAACGCATGAGGATCCGATGGCACAGAATGGGAAAGTGATTCGCCCCGAGTCACGCAGCTAGTAGCGCCCTTTGCTATGTTCCCATACTTGATCTTCTCCTGATTCTTTGTACAGTTCCCTATTTCACGAGAGGTTTCCAAGATGACCACCTTCAGAAAGCAAAAGCAGTTGGAAGCATTGTTTATGAAGATCTTGGAGCAAGTAAGAGCAGCTGTGGGTCGAGTCGGGGGCAAGGGCAACTGGGAGGTGGCCGGGGGGGTTCAGACGCCACCGGCAAAAGGCTTCGACCGGTGTGAGAGCTTTATCCTAACACAGCCCGCGTCTCGTTCTCCTTTCTTCCTTCCAAACCTCAAGTCAAGAGTCCGTTCAGAATTTAGCTGTGCTTGAAAGGGGTCCCTTTAACATTACTCCCGGGAGTCTGGCTTCTCCTTGAGACCAGCCCTTTTTTCTTCTCGCTCTGTGGGAGGTACACTATGACCAAGGGGTCATGTGTGGAGGCTCCCTAGTCACACTACCCACATTTGTTTTGTTTTTTTAAACAATTTTTTTTTTAACGTTTATTTATTTTTGAGACAGAGAGAGACAGAGCATGAACAGGGAGGGGAGGGGCAGAGAGAGAGGGAGACACAGAATCTGAAACAGGCTCCAGGCTCTGAGCTGTCAGCACAGAGCCCGACGCGGGGCTCGAACTCACGGACCGTGAGATCATGACCTGAGCCGAAGTCAGACGCTTAACCAACCGAGCCACCCAGGCGCCCCACGCTACCCACATTTGAACCCGCAGGCCTATCACTTGCTACCTGGGTAACCTTGTGCAAGTTGACTTGCCTATGCCTTTGTTTAATCATCTATAAAATAGGCAGATAGCAGTACCTGACTCACAGGGTGGTGCAAACACACTCGGAACGTTGGGTAGACACACTTGGAACGGCGCCTCTTTGTCAGAAACACCCCTCCCCCTGCCCCCCACATCTTACCCCGTTCCCTGAGTAACCTCACGGCAATTCACCGTATGTGGACGATCACCAGATTTCTTTTCAAGTCCTCGCCTCGTTCATAAGCACCGAGAACCAGCTTCCCAAGAGCCTTCCATTTGCAACACGTGGATGTAGAAACTCGCATTCAGTTCGGCGTCTAATACTAAATTTTATGTTTCCTCCCGCAGGGCCCCTTGTTCCTCATCCCGAGCCTTGATTTAGCTAATGGCAAATTCATTCATGCATCATTTGAAATTATCTTTGCTCTCTTCCTCATTGGTTGCCATTTCTACAACAGCTACTCAGCTCTCCCTGGGAATGTCTCCTCCCTCTCTTCTGCTGTCGTTCAAGTTCTGTCACTCTGGACGACTTCCATGGCTTCCCAACTAGGCTCTGTGCCTTAGACCTCTCCTCTCCAGTTCATTCTCCACGTAGTTGCCAGAACATGTGTAAATTGCGCCACCCCGTGCTTTATACTGTCCACATCACTCCCAGGGCTAATGACGTAAGTCAAAAGTGTTTTGGTTTTTTGTTTGTTTCTTAACCTGGAGAAATGCTATTCATCCTTCAACGTCACTTCTTTGGTGAAAACTCCCAAAGTACTAGGCATGACTGATCCTTCTTCTACCCTGCTTCTGTAACACTTTGAACATATTTCTTATTATATTTGCCATACAGTATTACAATTTGTTCCTTATATGGGTTTCTCTGCCTCTCAGGAGACTGTGGGTTTCTTAGGACAGGGAGCCTGATTCATTTGTGTATTATTATTGCACAGCACAGCGTCTGGCACATTATAAATGATCGATACAAGTTTGTGGCATTGTCTTAAGTTTATACCACCACTTTCTCCTTCTCCGCTTCGGGCAAATAAGCGAGGCATTATGAGTAACTTCAAAATGTCAGACTCTGGACAGTTGGCATTACAAGTATCCAGAAAGCTTCTTAAAAAACATGGATTTACAGGGGCGCCTGGGTGGCTCAGTTGGTTAAGCGTCTGACTTTGGCTCAGGTCATGATCTTGTGGTCCGTGAGTTCGAGCCCCGCGTCGGGCTCTGTGCTGACAGCTCGGAGCCTGGAGCCTGCTTCGGATTCTGTGTCTCCCTCTCTCTCTGACCCTCCCCCGTTTATGCTCTGTCTCTCTCTGTCTCAAAAATAAATAAACATTAAAAAAATTAAAAAAAAAAAAACAAAAAAACATGGATTTACCAACAACAACAAAACCAGACTCTTCAATACAGAGAACGAAATAGTGGTTGCCAGAAGGGAGGCGGAGGCGGAACAGGTGAAATATATAAGGGGATTAAGAGTACACTTATCGTGAGGACCACTGAGTAACGTATACAATTGCTGAATCATTATCTTGTGTGCCTGAAACTAATATAACATCGTTAAATTGTACTTGAATTAAAATCTCTGCGGAAAATGAAAAAATAAAACACACGGGTTTATTACTTCTGCACCTAAAGATCCCAAGGGACTTGGGTTGGGTTTAGGAATTGGTTTAGTCGCTGGCTTTTGTTTGAAAACTTCTCAGTTGTTTCTGACACATCGCCGAGTTTGGAAACCACCGCTAAAGCTACGCTTTAAGCACCAAGACAACTGTCCTTAGATCATTTATTCTCCCGTGCGACCTTGGCAAGTTACTTAACTGAAATTTTCTCAGGGCGTAGCTTCAATAGTACCACTTCCTGGGAATGTTGCGAGGGGTGAATGAGTTAATTTCTAGAAAGAGCCTCACACGGTGCTTGGAACGTATTAAGTACAATGTAGATGTTGGCTTTTAGTCACATTAATTAGAGACCATCCAGTTCAACCTTCTCCTTTTAAATATGAAGAAACCAGGGCCCATCATGCACTATAGAATTCATGCTTTTTTAGTTCCTGCTTTACTCTCAATTTAAAAAAAAAAAAATTTTTTTTAACGTTTAGTTTTGAGAGCGAGAGAAGAGCATGAGTCAGGGAGGGATGACCTCATGAACCGAGACACCATGACCTGAGCTGAAGTCCGATGCTTAACGGACTGAGCCACCCAGGGGCCCCTATCTGCCCCGTATTTTTATTTTATTTTATTTTATTTTTATTTAAAAAAAATTTTTTTTAACGTTTATTTATTTTTGAGACAGAGAGAGACAGAGCATGAACGGGGGAGGGTCATTAAGAGGGAGACACAGAATCCGAAACAGGATCCAGGCTCCGAGCTGTCAGCACAGAGCCCTACGCGGGGCTCGAACTCACGGATCGCGAGATCGTGACCCGAGCCGAAGTCGGCCGCTCAACCGACTGAGCCACCCAGGTGCCCCTGCCCCGTATTTTTAAAGGCATCAATCCAAAACAAAACCAATGTAATGCTAACCTCCCCATCCGTTAAAATGTCCTCAAGGTCAATGAACGGCTAAATATGGTAACAGAATGGGGCCATAAGAGTAGACTTATCGTGTAAATGGTGATAAAATGGATCATAACACTTTATGAGATTATCTTACGAAATCTGAAATTTTCAAGTAGCCTCTGCTGCTTTTGTTTGTAAAAATGTGGAGGGAACGAGTGGGTTAACCCAGTCTCGTCCCAGAGGGAGCCAAGAGGGGTGCAGAGCAGGAAGAGCGGGGGAGGTCTTCTCCATTTAGCCAGCTCACACAGTGGAATCCAGGGTGTGCTCTGTAAGGGGCCGACACTAAGATGTAAACTCTTACTTTGTTTCATCCTTGTAGCCCTGCCACCCAGAACAATACCTGACCCTAGTAGATGCACAATAAATGCTTAATGAGTGCATAAATCATTCAGATTATTTGAGGAGAGGTAGCCTACCCAAGGAACTGGGCAGGTGATCTGATTTCAAGGTACCATAGACCATACGTCAGGCTAGAACAGCATAAACGAGGTTCGTCTCCTTCATACCCCCGGGAGATCTTCATTTGTCCATAGATTAAAATGACTTGTGGGGGCGCCTGGGTGGCTCAGTCGGTTGAGCGGCCGACTTCGGCTCGGGTCACGATCTTGCGGTCCGTGAGTTCGAGCCCCGCGTAGGGCTCTGTGCTGACAGCTCGGAGCCTGGAGCCTGTTTCAGATTCTGTGTCTCCCTCTCTCTGACCCTCCCCTGTTCATGCTCTGTCTCTCCCTGTCTCAAAAATAAATAAATGTTAATAAAAAATAAAAAATAAAATGACTTGTGGTAAACATATCGGTCATTTTTATGTAGTGGGTCCTTTTCACTTGCTTACAACCCCATTTATCCTTCACATTATCTTTACACAAAGCTCTGACCAAGTAAGAAAATCCATTCCAGCTAGCTTTGTCCCGATCGCCACAAACGCCAAGTTACCGGAATCTAAATTAATACAAATTACCTGGAAAGAAGATTTTGACTTAGCCCCACAAAACTCAGTGGATCCACATGCAGACCCGCACACGTGACTAAAAACCCGAAGTCCCACCGCACTTTTCTGTCTCTCCGCCTTGTGCAGACCGTGAAAGAGGAAAGGATTATTTTCATCATCGACGAGGGCCAGTTCGTCGACGCAGCCTCCTGGTCCTTCTTGGAGAAGCTTATCCGGACTATTCCTATCTTCATCATCATGTCCCTGTCCCCCTTCGTTGACATACCCTGTGCAGCTGCCAGCGCCATAATGAAGAACAGGAATACCACCTACGTCACCCTCGGAGCCGTGCAGCCTAAGGATATCCGCAACAAGGTCTGCCTAGACCTCGATGTCAGGGGCATCCCCAAAGAACTGGACACGTGAGTAACCTGTTTGTCTCCTGAGGTCCCGACCTCCGTGTCCATTCCCCAGATCCAGACTTTGTGGGTTTCCCGAAGATGTATCTACAAGTGCCCGTTTCAATATGTTCACTGGGCCCGCTGTTCAAGAGCCATTTCTCGTGGTTGGTAGGATAGACCCCGTTCACCTCTTCCTTGTTATTGACCTTGTTCACCTCTTCCTAACCCCGTTAGGTTGTCTCAGACGTTTGCTCGGTGACCTCAGTGTTGCTTCCCCTTCGTTGTGTTGGGTACAGGCGTTCTCAGTGCAGTCAGCAGTGACTGAGGACGTCGTCGTGGGCAAGTGTCACAAAAGGCAAACTGGGAAAACTTAGTATATGTGCTGCCGAAGCGAGCCCCCCACTGGTAAAGTTTAAGGACACAACTTGTAAACAAGCAAGGTCCGGCAGTACTGTAGTCTGGAATATTCTCCGTCTGTGGCAGATGTTGAAGGCTGGCTCTTTACTCGCTGCTTTCTGAGTGTCTCAGTGACGCCTCCACCGGGGCCCAGACCCCAGTTGCCTTAACAACATAGACAGTGCCCCTGCTTTGGTTGACTGTTTACAACCCACCTTAGTATCTGTATCCTTCTTTATTTTGTTTTTTAATTTTTTAGTGTTTGTTTTTGAGAGAGAGAGGGAGAGAGAGCACGAGCAGGGGAGGGGCAGAGA